TTTTTTTTTTTTTTTTAACTGAGCCAGCTTGGCTCAGTCGGCTAGGAGCCGGCTCGGCTCGACTCGACTCGGCTCAGCCAGCTCGGAGTCGGCTCGAAGCCGACTTGCCCCAACTCGGCTCAGCCGGCTCGGCTTGGAGCCGGCCGCCCGCAACATCAAAAATTTATATATATATATATATATTTTTTAAAAGGCTGCCCGTGTCTCCAATCCGCGGGCTGCCTTGGCCCAAAGGCCAGTCCGGGCCCAATGGCCCGGATAGGGCATGCGCCCCATGCGGGGGACCCGGATCACCGGGTCCCGCCCCTTTCTCACTCGGATTAACCGGGTTTGACAGACCTGGTTCACAGAACCGAGTCTGTAACTTCTGAAAAATCAAAATAAATTATAAAAAATCGAAATAAAATGGAAAAACTCATTTACCTTATCAATCCACACACCCGAATTTAGTAGATCTGAGCAGAACGAGTCGAACTACGCCCAATAATTGGATCAAAAACTAATAAATCATCAAAATTTTTCCAAATCTCCTTACGAATCACGGACAAACCCGTTTGTAGAAAACACTAAATTTCTCTCTCTAAACTCACCCGAATTCCGAAATTGAGAGAGGGCTTTCGTTCCTTTCTTAAATACGCACGCGGCGGTGTGAACAAATCACCGAAAACTTCAACCATCGCGGCGAATTCGGCGTCAAAAGCTTCGGCCACCGATTTGGACCAAAATTTCTGTTTTCTTTAGATCTAGTCCTCAAATTTTGTTTCTCTTCAATTCAGTCCCTGACAATTTCAATAAAATCCCATACTTCCCAGAATTCCTAAATCAACCCCCAAACTTCTAATATTCCCAAATTAAGCCTAAAATTTCTAACTTTTCACAATTAAGCCCCTGATTATTAATTTAATTAATTATTATTATTTACTTAAAAATTGGGTTATTACAAACACTCATAAAGTAAAAATGTCTATATTAATGTTAGGTCCTGATACAATGAGTTAGTTATCTTATATCTGTTAAATCAATATTAATTAATATTAATTATTAATACTGATTCACTATTGATCCAATAGGTTATAATCTAACATTAAATAATTTGGATAAAGTGGAGAGTTAGATCCATGTTCTCAACACTCCTTCCATTACCCCATCCTAAGGGTGTTCATACGCTTGGTTTGGTTTTAGACTTTTTCCAAACAAAACTGAACTAATTGGTTTTTAATAGATATGGACATAATTGGTTTTCCATTAACTCCAAAATTGAACAACATAATTATAATGATTTGGTTCGGTTTAGAAAAATATTTTTAAAGATAATATTAATTAAATTATACTTATTTAATAAGAAAAAAGGCTCACAGTGAAGTATAATAAAATATATATAAATTAAACATTACAAAATAATAATTTCCTACTTACCACTTTTGACAATGACAAATATTAAATATAAATAAAAAATAAAAATTATAACTATGTAATCAATTCAATTAATTTTCATAAAAAACTGACAACCAAATCAAATTGATCAATTTTAATGTTATAAAAAATCAAATTAAACCAATTTTTTCAATTTTTATTGGTTTGATTTGAATTAAATTACTCAAATTAGCGTGGAACAGTTTTAAACACCCCCACCCCAACCCCATCCCCATCCCCATCCCCATCGCCTTGGACCGGTCGGATATACAAGAAATTAAAGATCCAGGACTATTGAAAGAAAATCACGTTTAATTTTAAATCTTTAGGTCTCTTCAAAATCCGCCAATCTCAAGGCTTACTCAATATTACTCGTTTGATTCTTCTAATTCTATTTAATTTTTTAGAATACATAAGACACAAAAGAGAAGAGAAATTCTGATTTTTATTAAAATTCATAAGTTAAATTTAAAATTTAAATATATAAATCCAAAAAGACTAAAAAGAGAAGAGCTCCAAGGTTTCCTCCTTGACTGCATATGATACAATAGGATCTTGTTGAGAAAATGAAAATATAAAAAAAAAAAATGTATTTGAAAAGTATTTTGGAACAAGAATCCTCGTTTCATAAGGAATCTGAATTTTATCTATTAATAGAATTCTTATTTAAATATATAATTACTATAATAATTTTTATTTTTTAAGTAAATAACAAAAATATCTTATAAATATAAAAAAATTATAAGTATTTACAATGTTATATATTAATATCTTATATATTAGATATATTTATTATAATATAGTAAATTGTATAATATGATATATTGTATTATATATTTTTTATTATATTTGTATAATATAATATATACGTATATACCTTATTATATACATACATACATACATACATACATATATATGAATTTAATATTTTAAATTAGAATAAAAATTATTTTTAAATTTTTTAATATATTCATAATATATTAAACGTTAAATTTTTAAATTTTATAAAAAAAGTATATTTTTATTTTTAAATTTTATTATATTTATTTTTTTAATTCAATTCCAATATATTAAACGTAAAACTGAAATACAAATATGTATTTTATTAATATATCTAAATATATTTATAAAAATTTTGATTTTATTATATTTCCCTTTCTATTCCTATTTTTATTTTTATTTTATTAAAAATTATTATATCATAATATAGGTCACTTAGCGGTGGGTAAAAAGGGGTCTAACCGTCACCTGGGAAAACGTAAAAGCCGTTTCACTACTTTTGCATTTTCTGTTAAAAGCAACTTCTGTTGCGGCAGATATCTCAATGGAATAGGGCCTGTCGGGAACAACCAACCATTGGGGTGTGACGGGCAGATTTCATTTTAATTATTAACGTACTAAGGCAAGTAATTTAGGAGTTTTTCATTTACATCCTGTCAACCTTACTAATTTAACTCTTTCTTTCTTCCTCAAATTTATTAATATAAATCTGGTTCTTTATTTATTTTGTAAAATAAATCATTTTCTTATTTATTATAAAATGAAAATTAAAAAACAACTTAAATAAAAAAATGGCTCAAATATTCATGACTTTAAATGATAAATTCCAAAATTGGAAAAATGAATATGTTTTTCAAATTCAAAGTAAATTTTTTTTTATATTATGAAGTACCAACAAGTAGGAGTGGGTGTTTGGTAATTTTCTTTTTCTTTTATTGTTTATAATTTGAGGCTTTCAATGTGAATTCACTTAGACTGATTTGCGTGCACCTGGACTTCTTTTATTCTTTTTTATTTAACAGAGATTTATCTAACAAATAAAAACAAAATTTTATCTAAATTTTTAGTGCCTAATATATTTCCTGAAAAAAAATAAATTACATCTAAGTTGTAAACATTTATTTTTTATTTAATTAGTTTTAAATAAATATATATATTAAATAATTTGTTTAGTTTGTAAAATAATATACTTTGTTCAAGAAATAAGTGTTTTAGTATGTGCTGCAACGATGCTGATGTGGCACCTCAATGCTGAAACTTCAACGCAAAGCTTGCTTACAAACCCAATTACACAACCGTAAATTTAAATTAAATACAAAAATAAAAAAGGGACAGAAAATTCCATTAAAGAAAAAGACCAAAGAGTCCCATTAGTACTTTTACTTTGTTGTGATATTTACAAGTTAACTTCAGATTTTGGAAATTTATGGCGCCAAAACATAGTTGCACGATGAGTATTAACTTTTTGTTTAAATTTTTCTAAAAAATTTCCAATTTTTATTTATATTATTTTTTCTGACCAATTTTTGGGGATTTATCTATAAAATGTCATACTACAAAGATTTTTTAAAATAAAATTATGATATGTTTGTAATATTACTCATAAAATGCTGAGTTTTTTTTTTTTTTTTACATTTTTAAATAAATAATTTGTGATAAACTATATTATTCTATGTAAAAATTTTTGCGTAATTTTATGTTTAGATATATGATTGGACAACTTGTTTTGGGACTTGACCAGTTGTCAATTATGGTCCAAGGATTTCAAATAACTCTTTCTAATCATTTGATGTTAGATTGAAAACCTCGTCATCATCCAACAATCAAACTGTGCCATCCTCTAACTAAATGAAGTGCATAAAGACAATCTTCAAAGAGATACGCCCCCACAAAAAGCTAGTCAAGGAGTCTTTAATTTTTGGGTTATTCTAAAAGAAAAATTTGTAATAGTTAAATCGATTTCTTTCTTTTATTTAGTTATTGAAAAACTAGTGCACATGTAAAAATAATAAATATTTTTGATAATTTTTCTCTTCTTATAATGTGTTATTTTTAAATGTTTAAAAAATTTCTATTTTTTTTTTTGTACAAAAGGAAAACAACATTGAGTCTCTCTTGCATTGAAATATTTATATTTTTGTTCAGCCTGCGCATGAATAAATAAACAAATAAATTTATTTGGAATTATTCTTGGAATTGATGTCTGTGTTTATACGTAGAGCACCTAAAATCTTGTTAGGAAAAGTCATTCTGAAAAATATGTCTAATTATTTTTTAAAATAGTTATAATTTCTGAAATTATTATTTTTTTAAAAAATAAATTATATAAAAAGAAATAATTTTTCAAAATTTCATTTTCTTTTTCTTTTATGATTATTGAAAAACCGGGGACAAACAAAAAATCAGATAAGCCCAAATTTGAACTTTTGTTTAGAATAAAAGATAAACAACTCAAACAAGAAAAATTACAAATTCATTCTTTTTAATTCAAAATATTAGACAAAAAGGTAAAGAGGCTAGAGCTATATCACTGGAGACTCAACCTGACTCTTATATATAAACTCTCCACATACGCCCACTTCGCAAGGCAATCTAATCAGACCCATCCGCTCTACTTGTCCCCATGTCCTTATAACCCGCGCACACAGACGTAGAGAGAGAGAGAGAGAGAGAGAGAGAGAGAGAGGGATAGAGATTTCTCATACGCAACCAATTTACTTGTCCTGTTTCTCGGGACGGTGCTCAACTCTGTTATTTTGTTCTTCTCTGATAAAAGACGGAGCTTAGTTCAGACCGTTCTCCAGAAAATGAGATACATTCGAACAGGCAGTTTCAAGAGACTCTTCTCGATCAAGCGACGCAGCTTGGATGAAGAACCTCAGAGACAAATCGTTTCTGTTGGTGTACACAACGATGGAACAATTTCTAAGAACTTTCCAGAAACAGAGCCCCCTCAGAGACCCACTTGGAAGTGCTTCTCCTACGAGGAAATCTTCGAAGCCACCAACGGTTTCAGCTCAGGTTCTTCGCTTTCTCTGTCATTTGCCTTAATTTTCTCACATGAGTTGAGAACTTTTTTTCCAAAAACCGCTGTTTTCCTTCGTGGTTTTGGAGGAAATTCGTCTTGTGGCCTATGATTTTGGGCTTTTATCGAGTTTTGAATTTTCTGCTCTTCATTATATCCATTTTGTCAAATGGGTTAAAACTTTTCTATGTATGTATGTCAAAATCACTGTTTTCTTTAAGGGGTATGGAGCAAATTCGGCCTTGTCTTCTCCTTTTGGGCTTTCATCGAATTCCAGATTTCCTGCTTTCTGTTTTATCTATTTTCTCAAATGGGTTCGAGATTATCTACTTTTGTTAAAACTACCGTTTTCCTTTCTGAGTCTGGAGGAAACGCGGCTTTTGGCTTATGCTTTTGGGCTTTTATCAAGTTCTGAAACCCTCTGCTCCCAGTTTTATTTTTCTATTTTCTCAAATTAGTTCAAAATTTATCCGCTTATTGTATCAAAATCAGTGTTTTCCTTCATGTTTATGGAGGAAATTCGGCCTCTGCTTCTGCTTTTGGGATATCAACTATCTGAACCTTCTTCTCCCCATTTTGGTATCTGGATGTCAGATAATTTGGTGGGAAAAGGAGGGTACGCAGAGGTTTACAGAGGGATTCTACAAGACGGTCAGGCAATTGCAGTAAAAAGGCTTTCAAAATCGTCCTCAAACGAGAGGAAGGAAAAGGAGTTTCTGACAGAGATTGGGACGTTAGGCCATGTTTGCCACCCAAATGTGTCCTCTCTCCTTGGTTGTTGCATCGACAATGGTCTCTATATCATTTTCCAGTTCTCCTCTAGAGGCTCTGTGGCTTCTCTTCTCCACGGTAAATAGAAAAGGAAAACTTATATTTGAATATATCTGGTCTCATAAATTCATACTAGCATTATTTTTATCCCGTGGTTTCAATTATAAAATACTCTAATTCTGGGATTTCAACATTTTCAAATGGGTTCCATAATGTTTCGATTGCAATAGAGCCAAAATTTCTGTGTGCTGAAACGGAGAATTTTCATTTAAAAAATTGACAACATTAACTATTGCCTTCGTTGGCAGAGTTTTTAAATCTTGGTACAATGTGTTATAATTAAAACAATTCGGAGTAAAGTGTAAATTATGCAAAAACAGGCAGAAGAAGAAGAACCACACTGGTTATTTTTCTGGGTTCTGAGCTTCTTCTTCTTCTTCTTCTTCTTTTTTTTTTTTTTTATCGGATACTTACAATTTTCTTCTCGCAGATGAGAACTTGCCGGCCATGGATTGGAAAACAAGGTTCAGGATTGCAGTAGGAACAGCCAGAGGCCTCCATTACCTGCATAAGGGCTGCCCGAGACGGATAATTCATCGCGACATCAAGGCCTCGAACATTTTATTAACTGCAAATTTTGAGCCACAGGTATAATTTTAATATGCCCAATTTAACCCGACATTAAATTAAACAATACCCCTGATGTAATTCTTATGTTCTTTTTTTTTTTTTTTTTTCCCTGGTTTCTAGATATCTGATTTTGGGCTGGCAAAGTGGCTTCCATCTCAGTGGACTCATCATTCAATCGTTCCAATTGAAGGGACTTTTGGGTGCTCAACGTTTGAAGACTTTCCATTATCAAATAATATACCTTTTGGGTATGGCATAAAAATGTTGATTATTTATTTGTTTGTGTTTTTCAGGCACTTGGCACCGGAATATTTTATGCACGGTGTGGTGGATGAGAAGACCGACGTGTTTGCTTTCGGGGTCTTTTTGCTAGAAATAATCTCCGGGAAGAAACCAGTTGATGGGTCTCACCAGAGCTTACATAGCTGGGTAAGAACTTTGAAGTCTTTGGTCGAAGGTGCTCTGAATTTTGTGGTTAGTAATAATATATTGCCTTCTTCATAATGGAACTTCTCTTATCATTTCATCTCGAATTGGGCTACCGGACAGTTGGATTATTATTATTTTTTTTTACCATATTTTGGGTAGTCTTGTATTATTGAAATTGTGTGTTTACCATTAATCATACAGGCAAAGCCTTTACTTAAACAAGGGGAGACCGAAGAGCTGGTAGATCCAAGGCTTGAAGGGGCCTATAATGCTGACCAGCTTAGTAGACTCGCCTTTGCAGCCTCTCTTTGCATTCGAGCTTCTTCCACTTGGCGCCCTACCATGAGCGAGGTAACTGCTCGCTACTTTAATTACAGGAAGAGATGCTAGTTCTCACAAAATTTATATTTGAAGAAATGAAATAAGTATCTCATTTAATTAATACAGCTTGATTTGTCTTCTTCTTTGCGTTCAATCCACTCCATAGCGACCCCCACCTTGCTTCAGTAATTTCTACTGATGGATGCACCTGATTCAGACCTCCCGAAGATAAACATTTCTCATCTTCTTCTAAACATTAAGTACTTGACTTCAAATATCATGCCGGTCCTTTTAGGCAATCCACCTAAACTCCCCTAACTTTCTCACATGATCAAGTCAAGATAAGGACCATAATATGTTACTTTGCGTTGCCGAAAGAAAGAAACAGAAACGAACCCTTGTAGTTGACCTGCCAAATGGAAAGAATAGACAATTCGCAGTTGGTGTAAGTATTAGCTTAAATAAACTTTGTCTAGTTTTTATTATAATATCATGCCTCTTATTTGTCGTCTTATGCATAAGAAGGGTGGTTTGCCCGTAATGACTGGCGTTATCTTTTCACCGGCCAAGACCTCAAACTAAGGTATAGGTCTTTTTGGGTATTTGGTGGGGCTGGTTTCGGGTTTTCACTCGTGCAATTCTAATCAGCTATCTGATGTTCTATCCTACCTAACCTAAATCTTTATCATAAAACGCATAGCATTAGTAAGGCCCCTCCCATGTGGCTAGTTGAAAATACTCTTTATTCTGTTCCTGTCGTCTCAATTAAAAAATGTGCTATAAAATCAAATCTTTATCTGTATTTTGTCCTTAATAATTGGCTAGATTTTTGAAAACTGAATACCTCTGTTCTTAATGTACGCATATACCTGTTCTTACATTCCATGAAGCCGTGCAACATGAAGGAAGTCGTCATCGGGGACAATCTTGTTTATGTGTTCCAATACAGACACTAAGTATTAAAACATGTCCTGGAATTGGTTAACAGATTACTACTTCTTACTAGATGACTTTCTATGGCACGCCTGTTTTTGACCCAATTAGTCTCCATTATCAATGGTTATAAGCGACTTGTGCTTATTTAACTTAAATTTCTACACAAACAAATAAGCGTCCAAAAATTAACCTACAAGCTTGTTCTGAAAGGGCAGGTAATGTGTAAAAATGAGGTAGTGGTTGGGGAGATAACAAGAATTGCACGTGGATGCTTACCGAATATGTAATTTATTAATTTGGCAGGCCTTAGCTTAGTAATTATAATAATCTAATGAGGTCCCCCTTCTATCATATTACGATATATGATATCAGAATTAAATAAACCCTTTGAAGTATAGATAGGGTTGAATTGAATTTTCAATTTTCTGGGTACCGATCGATCACTGGTTTTTTTCTTGGACAGGTGTTGGAGGTAATGGTTGGAGAGGAAATTGAGGAAGAGAAATGGAAAATGCCGGAAGGGGAAGAAGATCAAGAGGAGTTTTGGGGATTTGAGGACCTGGAATGCGAATGTGGGAGCCCTTTCTCAACTTCTCCACATGATTCAACCTCTACCAGGAGCTCGTAGGGTATTTTCATGTACATTGATTTTGAGCTGTAAATACAAGTACTGCGTAAAATACTTATAAGGAGGAGATGTATATGAGTTGAAGTATTTTATAGGAGCCCCACTTTCTTTCCTTATCAGTCTTCATACAAACACCAGGAAATTTTGTGGTTGTGCACACTTCTTTCATGTTGGCCAGCTCATTGCAACAACACCATGATGTTCCGTCTATTTGAATGGTTCTCAACATGGAAAAGTTTGTGAAGCAAAAAACAAAAACAGAGACAAAAAAGTGGTCCTTTCAAGTTAATTTGGGACGCTATGAATGTTTTAATCTGTCGGTATAACTCGCTATATTATCGAATGGTGTGTGTATAAATAGTATTGGTTAAAAGGAGCTCTTTCATTTGGTATTTTCAATTTGCGAAGTCCTGTCAACTTATATTATTTCAAAATCAGCCGGTAAGATTTTATTATGGGTGCGAAGTCTCTTTTCAATTGGATAATTAGAGTGCTTAGGGAAAGTAAGATTGGTTAGTGTTGACTTTTCAAACGATTATTGAAAAATTTTGGCATTTATCCAATAATTTATTTGGAATTATTTGTCATGAGTTTTAAACAAAAATCACATTGTTGTTTTGGAACTAATAATTTTCTTTTCTTTTCTTTTCTTTTCTTTTATTGTTTATATAACAACCAATTATGCATGTTTTTAGATACTCAGCTTGTTCAATTGTCTTACAACATAGGCAATGCATTGTTTATATAACAACCAATTATGCATGTTTTTAGATACTCAGCTTGTTCAATTGTCTTACAACATAGGCAATGCAGATAAGCACTAGTTTATTTATTTTTGTGGACATGTTAATGTAATACAATTTTATAGAAAGAAAAATAAGCAAAGATTATAACGTGACATGATCTGTTACAGAAGAAAATGGTAAAGATATAAACATACAATTTGTTTAGAAAGTTAGATATTTGATTTAGGGATTAGTCAGTTTAAATTAGGATTTAATTTATGTTTTAAATTAAATAAGGTTTTCTTCTTTTTCAAGTTTACTTAAATGATAATCAACCTTATTTTTACCATAAAAATACTCTTCTCTCTTGACTAAATTTAATTAATGGTTTCTATCTATTTGCCTTTAGATGATATTAATTTAAATATTAAAATTAATATTTTGTTATATATTGCATAAACTATATTATATAAATATATATAATTGATTCATTCATTAAAAAAAGTTAATTTTTTTGAATTTGTATATTTTTATTTTTATTTTACTTGATTTAATATAAAAATAAAAAATTTAAAAATAATTTTAAAACTTAACTATTAAGAATCTAATTTTACTATTTTATTTAAAAATCTAATTTTAATATTTTTTAATTTTAAAAAGATATAAAACTTTTTTAATAGAATTGTAAAATTATATTCTTAATAAGTTAAATTTTCTAATTTTCTTAAAATTTTAATTTTTTATATTAAATCAAGTAACGTAAATATCAAAAACTTTAAAATATAAAAAATTAAGTTTTTTTTAATGAATGAATCAACTTGTTAATATTTTTTACTATAATGAGTAATTTAATCTTATATGATAAGAAATTTTATTTTAATTTTTATAAAAAAAATTTATATAATATATATAACAAAAAAATTAATTTTGATATTTTAAATTAATATCATCTGACGGCAAATAAATGGAAACCATTGGTCAACTTTAATTAAAGGAGTTGAGTGTTTTTTGAGGGTAAAAAAGTAATTAAATGTCATTTAAGTAAATTTGATGAGAGGTAAATCCTATGTTTCATATTGGAAGCTATTTTCGCAATAATTTAAATAAAAGGTTAGGGTATGAATAGTGATCATTGAGAATTTATCAATTATTTTAACTATAGGTTTGGTTTGAAAGAGTTTAATTCTGTGAGTGGTATTAGTTATCTGTACTAATTTATTTTTTTATTTAATTTATTATTGAATATCATTTTCTCATAATCATGATCATAACCCATTTTTTAATATGTGTAATTTCATTTTTATTATAAATGAGCTATCAATAATTTTAATAAAATTTTGAGAAATTTTAAAATTGACATGAACTTTATATAAATTAAATTATAAAACACAATATATGAACACGAATTGGGAATTTTAACGGGCAATATACTAATAATTAATTAGTTATCTTTTTAAGTTAATTAAATTGTGATAAGAAAAGAGAGCATTTGATGAAAATGATGAAATGGGTGTTCACCATTGCTAATGCAAATGCTAAAATTGATTGGTCGAGGATGATGCCACATCTTTCCATTTTCTACGTGCATGTGTTGAGTTTGCTCAGAGGCACATGTTTAAGCATTTACCAGGGAAGCGCAGGGAGCCCAATAGAGTTGTCATGCTGGGCATCAACTTCACCCCAAACCATCCATCATTTATAGTTTCAACGTTTCATATTATTTTTGAAAATTATTTCTTCGAAAACAACTAAAATTTTTTAATCTAAAAAACCCATTTCATAAACTGTTGTAAAAAATTGTTTGTGAATGATTTTCAAAACAACATACCTATTTTCAAAGAGCAAAAATAAGTTTTTCTTTGAAAATTTTTACTAATTACTGTTGATCAAAAATGAAAATGATTTTAAACCAGTGGAGTTTCATGGCTTTGGAGTGTTTTCTCTTAAAACAAATAATACAAAACGGAAAGCAATTCCAAATTGTTGCCTGTTTGCCATTCTTTTCAAAACATTTTGAAAATGTAAATGAATTTGGCAAATCGTACTTGAAAATTGCTTCCAGAAATTACTTCTCGAAAGCATGCTACTTTTTAAGAACAATTAACAGCTTTAGAACTAACTGAAAAAATATTCGACTAAAAAATAAAAATGACAAAAAAGTCGTGAAATTTTCAGAATTTTTAACATTTTCTGTTTTCAAAATAGCTAAAACTCAAAGCCAAAGTAATTCACGCATGCCAAACTAAATAAAACTAGCTCCCACCCCCAATCATTTGCTAAATTTGCTATTTGCACATATAAGGTCAAGGGAATAGGAAATTAATCATCTTCCAATCATTCTTCTAAATAAATTCCAAAATAGGTCACTCTCCGTTGAGCTGTTGTTTTGTCACATAAGCCCACTAATTAACATGAATCAACTTTACTACTTTTCAATATATATATGTGTGTGTCTATATATATATATATATATATATAGAGAGAGAGAGAGAGAGAGAGAGAGAGTATGTGTGTGTTCAATCAGTGCAAGTTCGGTACTGGCATGTGAGACAGGCACCAGCTGGCATCCCAGGGAGGGTGACATGGACACCCCAACCAACGGAAGTGAATGGAATTATGGGACTTTCAATTATTGTAAGCGAGATGTTTTCCAAAAACAAAAAAACAAAGAAGATATATAAATGAGATGGTTGCGTGGCTCTATTTTAGTTGGATTTTGATGGGAAGTGAAGATAATTTCAACCTTCAATGTTATGACAGAGGATTTTTATCTTCTTCTT